ATTAGAAGAGAAAATAATGATATAAACAAGATGTTGACTTTCCACACGATTTTAAACGAAAGGTTTGGAAGGAAACTTACACCAATACTAGAAAGAGCGGTAACAGTAAGAAACCTATTTTCCTGAAAAATTCTTTTTAAGAAAAAGATTTTGTAAACTTCAACTTACACTAATGATAACAGTTCGGTCAATGAATAACGATCTTTCCTTGTATGGATACTGTTAACTTCTTCAGTCGCCATTTGCATATGTTACAGTCCATTTATATCTGTCTCTCTATCAATTTATCAATAAGACCATATCATTTGAAACCTTCCAACGGCAGCAACAACGAAACTGGTTAGCACACGGAACTAGAATGGGATATAATGTTATAGTCAAAAGATTAACATGTTAACTTTCCACACTAAAGACAAAAGGTTTGAAAGGAAACTCCCATCAGTGCTAGAAAGAGCGATAAGAGACTTGAGATGTTTAATTTCCTGAAAAAATGTTTTGAGAAAAAATAGCAGCAATAACTGTTCGATCAATAAATCCCGAATGTTTTCTGTGTGCACTTTAATCAAATGATCAGCTATTGCTGAACCTGATACATTAACAAAACCTATGTAAAACGGTTTAGCGACCCTGTGCCATCAGAGCAAAAAATGGAGGGAAAGAAAAAGAAAAAAAAATGTGCATAGCGACTAAAATTTACACCCCTAGACTAATGTTATATACAAGCATCAAATATAATATTAAAGGCTAATTAACCACCAACCACTCCTGCTTACAGAGAGATGTTTTCAGCCATCTGAAATAGAAAATGATGTTATGTAGGTTTGACAAGACCTTCGGGCTATACTTGTACATTAAATACCTCTCTAGTGACAAGTCTGTATTTCTATTTTCATTTTCATTTTATTTTTCCTATAACAGGTAACAAAAAAGTCTTCTGCTATTACAGCAGTTCGGCTAATGGTCGGTTGGGAGTTGGCAAGTTTGAACCTGAAAACATTGACCCATACCTGTGCACACATATCATCTATGCCTTTGTTGATATGAACGGCCTAGACCTGAAGCAATCCCGAGCCCTAGATAGAGGTAAGTAAACTGAATTTTCGTTTGCTTTTGCTTTTTTTTAAAAAAAAAAAGACAAACTTTATTCTTCTTTTCTTTTCCTTTAAATACACTTTTCCTTTTTTATTTTATATATATATATATATATATATATATATATATATATATATATATATATATATATATATATATATATATATAAATCAAATGATTTTGGACCACTTTCTGGATTTTTGAAGAATCAATAAAAAAATTAAAAGTTGAGTGTTTTTTTCAAAAGTAATTTCCGAGCCCTCTTCGGGTGAGACTGATTTTCTCTTCTTGAAGTGTTTTATAATATATTCAATAATTCGGCGTCCGTCTGTCTCAAGAGACGATGGAGTAAGCGCGGTGCGCAACGAGCCTGGGCAGGATATATGGAGAACTAGGGCTACCCGGATGTCTAGTTCCACCTCTCCAGAGTCCAAAGGAGAGGATAAACCAATACAGTTTTGTACCAGCGCGACTGCAGGAGTTGCCGGAAGGTAGCAGAAAGTGCCGTCCATCCGCCTTAGGAGCTTCACTCTGGATTTGAATTTAGATTTGTCCTTCTCCTAGACCAGTTGCCATCCAAGGCTATATAACCCAGTCTGTCCTGCTATTTACCCATAGCTGGAGAGAGAAGAAAAGGATTCACACCTTTCCTAAGGGTATTAGCACGTAATTCGAACTCGGCTCTCCGATTCCTCAATCCAAGCTGCTATCCATTACTCCTCCGTACCTCCTCTCAACAACAACAACAACAATAATAATAATGATGATACAATAATAATAATAATAATGACGAACATGATGACATATAAAATAATGATGATGATCATGATAATGATAATATATACAATAATAATGATATTAATGGTAATAATAATAATGATAATAATAATATATACAGTAATAATAATGATGATAACAATAACAACAATATTAATAATAATGATACTAATATATACATTAATAATAATATACAATAATGATGATGATGATGATGATGATGATAACAATAATAATAATAAGGAAATTATTACTGTGTAAAATTTCCTTACCATCTTAGCTCGTTTTACCTAAACTATCTTGCCAGCTAATGGTAACTTAATACGAGTAAATAGGTTCGACTATCGCTCGATTCCCACACCTACCCCGTCTACTGAATAGGAGTTGAGATTTATCTGATGTTTTCTGTTTAGGATTGGGTTTCCGGTTCGTTCTAGTCTTCGCATTCTCTTTTACTCCTAGCAGACCCTCCTTGCGTCTTAGTGGCATTATCACCTTGCTTGAGGTGAAATGATAAAAAAATCTTAGTCCAGATGGATTTTAAATTTTAGGTAATTCCCTCTCTGAAGAAATTGCACACCATTCACTAATCTGCCTATCTTAGTAGCAGTTAATTAAACCAAAAAATAGTATGGAACCTATTAATTATTAAATTCAAAATGTGGGCTCAGACGTATTACTTTATACTCGACAATTTGAAACATTTAAAACATTTGAAACTGGATTTATACTAAATTTATTATTACATCTCGTCGTTATGTGTTGATTTAAATTGTCTTTTGTTCACGGATATTTTTATTAATTTTATGATTAAAAAAAGCGTTTCCATGGTTATTTATTTATAAAAGGGTAAATAATAAATATTCCATTGTAGTTGGTTCCCATATTTCTATCAACTTTCAAATATAAAATTATTCTTGGGAATAGATAATCTAACAAATAAGTAGCATTCGATGTCCTCCAGAAAAAAGGAAATGTATAAATAATAATGTCTGTGATTTATATTTTATTTTAGTCATTATAATTGTAAACGCCTTTTCGTCTTGTTTATAATTACAATGTATCTCGTTACAATAAAACAATTTAATGGAATCTTTGTTTTTATTTATATCAAACTTATATTATTTTTTTTATTAAATTTCTTTAAAAATAATCTTATTTTTTCATCAATTTTGGAAAATTATGGTTGATTAGTGTTGGTTTTTATGTTGCTGAATTCTCTATTAAACAATATGTCCGAAGTGGAAATCATTTTAACACAATAAATAATGTTTTTATAGCACCTGTTTTATTTCTGTGTGAACATTCACTTTTATCATTAAGAGAACTAATTAAGATGAAAGAATAAGATTAGCTTTTTAGAAATTTATAAAACATAATATAATCAACCGCTTTAAAGACTCCATTAAATTGTTTTATTGAAACCAGATGCATCCTAATTATAAACAAGACAAAAATTGTATTAAAATCACAACTTGGTATTGTGTTATTTCTGGCTCTTCCCCAATTTTAAGAACAGGCGATTTTCACGTGGAATTGGTTCTGCTGCTACTCCTGCACCTTGAGGACAGATACCGCATGCACAAATCAATGATCCTGGCTTTATTCCTACATCTGCTTTTGGATGGGCAAGCCTGAGTATGTCTCGCTCTTCACTGAGCTCCTGCCATGTTTGAGTTTTACCAAAGACATCATCATCGCCAAAAGCTTGCTGTATCTTCTCGATCATGAGAAGGAAAGGCGAAGATAGCTGATTTTATATATAGATTAAAAATGACAAAATATTATAATTACTAATAATCTAGAATTTAAATAGAATAGGTATTCCTTGTTGAGCGAGCCTCATGCATAGCTCTCTTGTAGTAAAAACTTAAAGATCGAGGCTGGATATAAATATAGCAAACATTGTCATTTTATTCATATCAAATTGATTGCTTATATTACTTCTTTATTTGGTTTGAGAAATTGTTGATAAGTGTTTGTTTTTTATATTGCTTAAATCTCTCTAAAGCAATGTGTCCGAAGAGAAAATCATTTTCGCCCGATAAATCGTGTTTTTTATAACACCTATTTTATATCTATATATAACACTTACTTTATATCTGTGTGAATATTTGCTTTTATAATTCAATTTTATTTATTGATTTATTTCTATTTGGAGATATTTGATCTGATCCTTGGATGTTTTGATCTTTCTTTCTATGAGAGAATATCGACATTTTGTTTTTAGTGTCCTAACAAATGCCATTAGATTTATCATCTATTATCAAAAAACTTCCCTCCATTAAATGCAAGGCCGCATATATCAAAAATAAATCAGGAAAAAAATTATAACTTGACTGGCCTGTTCTACTCCATCAGCAATAATCGTCTGACCTTGCACCAAGGGATTATTAACTTTTTCGGTCGCTTCAAAACACTTCGAGGGGGAAATCCTTCTCTAGGGAAAACCAGGTTAAAGAGTTCGTCGAAAACATTTTCACGTGATAATTCTAGGCTTACGGCAACATCCGGTTCACACTCATTTCCGGTCTTTTGAACAGGAGTAGAAGTTTATCTCTTGTTTACTGTCTAAGATTGAGTTTCCGGTTCCTTTTAAAGTTTACTTCAGCTCTATATTCCCAATGCTTGTTATTTCCTATGCTAATATAAGTCTACATAGCATCGCTCTACCTTGAGTGGCTCTTGGACCATGTATTGAGGATTTGGTTTGGTTTGTTTTACGGCATATCAACCTCAATGTGTTATTTAATGCCGACAAGATTTTTATTGCTGGTAATATTTTTTTTAGAAATGTATCGCTGGTAATAATTTTTCTTCAAAAATTTATTGCTGGTAATATTTTTTTACAAAGTATTTCTGGTATAAAAACCAATTTTTACACTTTCATAGTGTTTTAACCCCAGTTTTGTGGTTAACTATTTACCCATAGCTGGGACCCTAACAGGTGCTACCACCCCGGGTTAAGGTGGACCTGAGAACACCAGCAATTAAGAGGTGGTTCCACGCTCCACAAAAGCTCCTGATGAGATGCCTTGCGGTTGAACGTAGTTTATCGTCTTACCCAGGATGGTGTATTGAGGAACAGTAAAAAAAAAAAAAAAAAAAAAAAAAAAAAAAAATTTTAAAATAGCACGTTGAAACATCAGTTTCCGTACGATCACCGAAGTTAAGCGATGTCGAACCTGGTTAGTATCTAGATGGGTGACCGCTTGCGAATACCAGGTACTGTAAGCTTGAAATTGTTAAATGGAGAGCCGAGTTCCAATGAGAGATGGGTTCGTTATGCGGAAATATTCTTGAGAAATATATGAATCCATCTCTTCTCTCTCCGTGTATGAGTAAAGACTTGTATCACTAAAAAACATTATTTCTCCCCCAAAATGAAATAAAGCAAAATTAATGTGTGTTATAAAATATTTAGTTTTCAGCATTATATAACAAGAGGCTGATATGCCCCTAAACAAAATCAACCAACCAACAAAAATCAAAACCTGCGGAATTTTACTCAAATAGTATTAAAGAGTTGCAAATTATTGCAAATAATGGTGAATATATTGAATAAAATGTAATCTGTCGTATATTTCCGTGTATAAGGCGACCTTTAGATAAGTCGAGGTAAAAAATATAGCAATTTTTTTTATGAATTTATCCTATACCTGTAGTATAAAACGACTGCCTATTGATTATATAAAGATGATGTTAATGTTGTTACTTACTGTATTCTTAGAAATTCAAAATTAACGAAATGACAAAACTGATTTTATATCACGTTTTTCCTACATACATCCCCTAAAAATTTATTTACGTCTCATCACATGATCTCTTTCGAAAACTGATTCTTCTTCTTCCTCTTCTTTTCCTATATCTAAACAGCTTTGTGTACTAATGGCCATTTACTTATACTTCGTCGACAATCACAAAATACTGCTAACAGTACGATAATACATTCCACTTTCAACATCCGTAAAAGGATTTTTATTTGAAAAATAAAGCTTGTATGTTATCCTAAATTGTGTTATTATTTAACACCAAAATGATAATAAATTTTTAATGAGAAATGAATATTATGTTATCTTAAATGTTATTACTGCCGAAAATTGACACTACAATGATGATTATTGAAAGTTTTATCAAAAGATAAAGGTTTCTGGGAATGCAATCATAACTATGTTTATCTTTTCTCAGCTGAACTTGAATGGATACAAGCTGATTTCATTGATATAGAATTATTCTTTGAATAGGCAATTTTTATGAAGTTTTACCAGTAATATATAAGGTAGAAATGGTTTTATTACTTTTATTATCAGTTTATTTGATAATGGGAATCTTTTCATGTACGTTATTGGTTATTACACTGAAGCTGAGGTTAGCCTACCAATAAACATCACTCAGAATTTAAGCTTTTTTAGAATTGCAGCATAAGACGAACAACAATTTTTAAGAGTGATTTTTGGGATTTAAAGGCCGTCTTATACGCGGAAATATAAGGTAGGTTATTTTATTAAGAATAAAATTGATAAGCAAATAATGTAAATTATTTTTTATTCAACTTAACACAATAGAATCCCTGACAACCGGACTAAGAAGGCATTCCGGATATGAAGAATTGATTACAAAGTCCGGATATGAGGGGTTATATTTAGATTAAAATAAAAGAACTGAAATCAGGTTTAACATTTATTTTCAATGTTTTATAGTAAGCAAAATAAGCTAATGGTAAATGAAATATAACGGAATTGATTTTAAGGAAAAAGAAATAAATTATGTAATTTTAATGAAAATTCATTAAATTAAGTCTCCCACGTATGCCAAACAAATAATGTAACGAGGATTTTTTAATCGCTGTTGCATGATGATTCTTTCTCTTCTAATGTTATTCTCAACCTTTTCCGCATTTCCTTTTGTTCTTGAAATTTTTTAACGAAAGTCACTTTTTGACTCGGCATCTGTTATTGCAATCGTCATAGCTGAATGCTGGCTTTCTTTCCATAAAACTGATAACCTTTTCAATGGCTTTTTCAATTTCAGTCCAGGTTTCATCACAATCATATTTTATTTTATTGTTCATTGTGACAGTGTGAACGTTGTAGAATAGTTTCTTTGGAAGATTTTATATCATACAATGTTGACTTTCCTACGTTGAACTCGGCCATTAGTTACAATGAACTTTCACCAACGACTAGTCTGTTTAAAATTTTCACTTTTTGCGATAACTCCAAAGTTGTTTTTTCCTCTTATTCCCATCATCTTTTGCACCAATACAAGCCATTAGGGTGAAATAAGCATAAGCAATTATCCAAAGTAAATTTCTTGAAAAACAGAAATTTCATATCAGTTACATATCACCCTAATAGTTCAAATATATACATCAAAACCATGTCCGGATATTCGGGATTCCGGATATGAGTCACTCCGGATATGAGTCACTCCGGATATGAGTCACTCCGGATATGAGAGATTCTGTATTTGAGGGATTCAATTTAATATAATACATCCAAAAGAAAAAAAAAATTGGTTTCCGTTTGTTTTTTTTTTTTGTGGTTAATGCTTAATCCGCCGTGCTCTTACCTTGTTTAATGGGGATTCTAATTTCGTTTTCTATGCATAGCTTAGAGTGGCACATCGTCACAACTTTGGGACATCTACTGATGAGGATGGGGAGTCATTACACTAAACAAAGGTCTGAAATATAGTCGATCTAAAGCAATTTCCCAACATATTTTCAGTAAACATGGATAAACTTACCCGCAATAAGACGAAATATAAAAAAGACTGTTTTCCCATGACATCGCTGTTATTTGAACTACCTTCACTCCTCAGCAATGTTTATTGTTGAAAAAAAAAGCGGTGATTAAATTGAAATAAAGCCTAAACATATGATGAAAGTGAATTTATATATATATATATATATATATATATATATATATATATATATATATATATAAAGAAATAGGTTGTAGTGGTTCCAACGAGAGAAAAGTATGTATATTAAAAAGAAGAAGAGAGGTGCCGCAAATGTTTTTGGTTGTAATGTGGATTTATTTAGAAAAAAATATTATACTTTGTTTTACATAATTTTGACACGTGTTTCTGGTCTCGACCGTCTTCAGGTAAAAGTGGAATTTCCACATATTATTAAAAATAATTAATTTTTTCCTTTATGTTCAATGTTAAATATTCTCGATATGAGACATTCTCTGTTTGGTAATCCGAATTTCTTTCTTGAATATATATATATATATATATATATTGTTCTTGAGATTTTACAACAAAATATTAAACACTATTTATTTATTAAATTGTTTATTTACAAGAATAATTTTCTATTTATAAGATTCTAAAAACTAATACAATTATAACTAATGCAACGCAATATTTATCATTTCTCAACTTGTAAAGAAATAAATGTGACAATTTTTTATTCATAAATTTATAAACATTTACTGAATTATTAAAATATGTGAAGTAACTATTGTAACCTAGAGAAGGTTACTGAATAGAATAATCACAGGAAGGTTGGTAATGTACGATTATACTTAGGACAAGAACAACACATATAAGATTCACCAGAAGCGTGTAGAAGTAGTCAACTGCTAGAAGTGAGTCAAGTGAATTCCACAATGAATCTCCAACTGCAGGGTATCTATCAACCGCCCCACGTGGTCAGATGTGGCACAAGCCGAATTTAATGTGGGGTGTCCGAGCCCATAGGCTCGACCAAAAATTCTCCGTAGACCCCGTATAAAACGGGGTCGGGTAGCTGTTTCCTAAGACGAGACTCTGCCCTTCGACATAGCCTCGTCTATGGATCCTCTCTGGAGGCAGAGAGTTTGACCAGCACAGCTGGAAACGAAACTCCGACTGCAGACCAACATACAGTATTTACTACTGTATTTATGTGAATGGGGACATTATCATCCGTAGGTATGCTACAACACCAGCTTAATTCCTTATTATTTACCATTTTATAAAGTTTGAATCAATTAGTCGATATTTTGCTAACCATTCCAATAAACAATATAATAAATAGTGTAAATGAACAATCTAATCAATAAAACGCCTTTATTACTGTTGTATAGCCCCTGAGTGAGGGTGGTTTTGGGAGACGGTGTCGATTCAATAATAATGTTGCATTCTTCTCTCGCGGCCGGCAATCACTAGTTGTTTTGAGTCTAGAGATAAAAGAACTTCAACAAAGAGAATTTTAAATTTAGCTATTTTATTAACGTCGACGCATACATCTCACTATCCAGTGGTATCGCTCTCCTTCCACTGGGAAGTCGTTTCCAGACACGAAAGCCAACACGTCTACATACCTTGACGTTTAACAACTCCTTAAAATCTCTTTCTCTATCTATCGTTCTCACGCTGGCTCAACCAATCAAAATCGACTTCTTGTTTTGTCTTCCACCTGGCCTCAAAGACCAACCCTAGGAAGTCGGAGCAGCGATACACTTCTCTAAAAAAATAATTATCTGCTAAACTATTAACATTATTTTTGTTGTCAATACTGAAGAGCAAAGAAAAAGTATAAATCCACTCTTATATATTCAGGTTTTATTTCAGTTCTAATGATCGCTTTTTAAAATAATAAACATTGCCAAAGACTGAAGGTAGTTAAAAATGCGGTGTCATAGGAAATACCGTCTTTTAGACACAGTCTTACTGCGAACAGGTTTATCCATGCTTAATCTATTTTCTATTCTAATGTTATATTCAATGTATTTATTTATTACTTTGCGTGGATTTTATATATAATTACCACATTTCTGGATCTAGTGTAATCAGAGTATATTTGAACAAAGGCTCACGGTTAGTTTCATGGAAGACTCAGTGATGATCGAACTCGCTATCTGTGGCTTGTGACCCCAGCACAGTAACCATTATTCAGCGGAAGATGTCATTAAACATGTGACGAGATAGAGAAGGAGATCAATAAAAGGCGGCCCACCTGCAAGGCAATCTTTTGTGATAGTGTGAGTTCGTTATATGCACTCTTCAGTGTATTTCCCGTTTCCAAAATGGCGGTTGAATTTCATGTCAGCAGACTTCCGGCATTAGCTGTTCCTTTGAGTTTTCTTTCCTTCTGCCGAGGATATTGCCAGCTTTCAAGATATGTAATAGTCGTCTGCTCAAATGAAACAATCAAATAATATATAAATTATATATATATATATATATATATATATATATATATATATAATATCGGTATTTTATCTGTATCTAAGATAA